ACGCAAATGTAATTATTTTATCTATATACACTTGCCTGGTGTATAGTTAGCCATTAAAATTAGTCAAAGGACCACTATAGGCACCCAGACCACTTCAGCTCAATGAAGTGGTCTGGGTGCCAGGTCCATCTAGGGTTAACCCTGCTTGCTGTAAACATAGCAGTTTCAGAAAAACTGCTATTTTTACATATGGGTTAATCCAGCCTCTAGTGGCTGTCTCATTGACAGCCGCTAGAGGTACTTCCGCGCTTCTCACTGTGATTTTTTTCACAGTGAGAAGACGCCAGCGTCCATAGGAAAGCATTGAGAATGCTTTCCTATGGACTGACTGAATGCGCGCGTGGCTCTTGACGCGCATGCGCATTCAGCCGATGACGTCGGAAGGGGGAGGAGAGTCCCCAGCGCCGAGGGAGCCCGGTGCTGGAGAAAGGTAAGTGATTAACCCCTTCCTCCCTCTTCAGCCCAGCGGGAGGGGGGCCATGAGGGTGGGGGGGATCTATTAACACTATAGTGCTAAGAAAACAAGTTCGTTTTCCTGGCACTAAAGTGGTCCTGCAAACGTAATAAAGTTTGCTAATTTGGATATTCTCAAATAGCAGAACTACAACCATATATCTTTTTTGTTGTGATTCAAATCCTCCATAACCATATTGCCTCAGTTCCAAGTATCACCTAAAACCGACCCCAATTACCTTTAACCTGTGATGATACCTAAAACCTAAATCATTTTCAAACTGTACTCTCTCTCTTTTGGCAGGGTCATTTGGCTGCCATTCGTTGTAAATTGAGTAAAGGAGCATTGTATAAAAAACTACCCCAACAAGAGGACATAGTCTTAAATTACAGGGGCAAAGGTTTAAAAATAATATCAGGAAGTATTACTTTACTGAGAGGGCATGGAATAGCCTTCTAGATGTAGTGGTAGAGGTTAACACAGTGAAAGAGGTTTTGCATTCGTGGGGCATAGGCATTCAGCTATCGTAGATATAAGTTAAGGCCAGGGACTAATGAAAGTATTTAGAAAACTGGGCAGACTAAATGGGCCGAATGGTTCTTATCTGCCGTCACATTCTATGTTTCGATGAGTTGAACGTATTTCCAATGAATGTTATCACTACAAAGAGATCCATTTGAAAATAGGGACATATTCAATTCAATGCAGTTTGAATTTATTTGGCAGTAAACCTCAGCCACATCTGGTAAGTCTAATTTAAAGGGACATTCCAGGAACATGGATATGTTTAATATGCACATAGCAGTAAAATAAATTACATAGTTTAAGCATACTCAATATTAATATATATACACAATGTTTTTGGTCATTTGTCCTTGTTCCAGAAACCCTTGCTCAGTGATTCGTGTTAATGGTAGCAATGACAAGTGTCTGTGTATTGCATCTCCTTCACTGAAATAAAAAAAATGAAGTATGGTGACTAAGTGGTGTCAGTCATATTATTCCTATACTCCGTGAACAGAAATGTGCTTGCTAGAGGTTTAAGCACAGCTACAACAGGGATGTAAAAAACACCCGTAGGTCAAATAGTAGATGCTGTGCCATTGGCATTGCCCTCTATACCGAGAACTGATTGATATGTTAAGGGAGAAACAATATAGTTTATATACTTTCTCTAAAAAAGTAATCTTTTAGCATTGTGGCTAGCACAATGTCATTATGATGCGTGTTTATGCTCCTTCATTAGAGTATAAGTTGGTGTACCTATGACAGGTATCTCTTAATCTGTAAAGTCTCTAATTTATCAAATGTATCTCTGATGTATGCATTATGCTACAAGTATAGCCGATATTTGGGAATGTCTGTGTACATGAATGAGACCATACCAGAAGATGTACTGCATATAATTAAGGGGCTGGTTCTAGAGTTACAGTTCTAGATTTATTTAGAATGAATGAGCCTGCACTACTGTAACTTCTTATCCACTAAATCCCCCACATGGTTACAATGATAAGGGCCTCTCGTAACTATTGCCTCACAATTTAATTCTACAGACAACAAACAGTTAAAGGATCACTAAAGGGTCAGGAACACAAACATATTCTTGACCCTATAGTGTTAAAATCACCATCTAGCCCCCCTGGACCCTTCATGCCTCCATAAATAGAGCAAAATCTTACTGTATTCAAGCCAGAAGCTGTAGATCTGCATACTGTTTGCCTCAAAAAAACAAGCAGTCTGCTGACATCATCAGAAGTGGTAGCCTGATCCAATCACAGTGCTTCCCCATAGGATTGGCTGAGACTGACAAAGAGGCAGATCGGGGCAGAGCCAGCATGATTCAAACACAACCCTGGCCAATCAGCATCTCCTCATAGAGATGAATTGAATCAATGAATCTCTATGAGGAAAATTCAGTGTCTGCACGCAGAGTGAGGAGACACTGAATGTTTGGATGCATTTTAGGCAGCAATGACCCAGGAAGGATCTCTAACAGCTATCTAAGGAGTGGCCAGTGAAGTTATCAATAGGCTGTAATGTAAACACTGCATTTTCTCTGAAAAGATAGTGTTTACAGCAAAAAGCCTGAAGGGAATGATGCTACTCACCAGAACAAATTCAATAAGCTGTAGTTGTTCTGGTGACTATAGTGTCCCTTTAAATGTTATTTGCACCAAAGAAGCACATTTCATTAGCACCATCTAGCAAAGTATAGGATTCACATATTTATCAAACAACACATTTTTACAGTTTTTTGTTTTGTTTTGTTATGTTCTAGAAGGAGGCAAATTCACAAAAATAAATAAATAAAATAAATCTCCTTTGTACAGGTGAACCTACATCAGTATGCAATATTTGCTCATTAGCAGTGTAACCCTGAACGTGCAAGAACCAGTGGCGTGCAAATCCCACAATGCCATGCACCCTTCTTTTTCCCCATTAGCTAATTGCAAACAAAACTAATCACGTACTGTTGTAGTAGTAAGTGCATAGTTCTTGTCTCCCTCCGGCAAATGTTATGTCAAAAATGCAGGGTAAGTAGAGTAACATTAGTAGAATAGATATACTTTTTTTCTAAATATTTAGACATCTCTAGAAAAGCTTATTCCGTTATTGACTACCCTATGTATGTTGGTTAGAGAATTCATTGTGGAATATTTTAATACATGCCTGTACTAATCTATCACCTTGAATCTCAGAGGAGTAAAGAATATTAATATCATAATGGGGGGAAAGGGACATTTTAGACTTTTCTAAATCTATTACAGTGGGACCTCGGTTAACGAACGCCTCAGTAAACGAAAAATTCGGTTTATGAATGAGAATTCGTAAAAAAAATGCCTCGGTTTACGAATTTTTTTGTGTCCCGGTTTATAGCTCCACCCCCTGCATACTGGAGTCTGGGTAGCACGCGAGTGTGGAGGTGTTGGAGAGGTTTTGGAGCCATTTGCAGCAAGTTGTGTAGCCTTTTGCAGCAAGTTTTGGAGCCTTTTCGTGCATCTCAAGAGGTGGAAAGGTAGGGAACTGAGCTTAGTTGTTTGCATGCGTTTTACTGTGTGTTCTGCATTGTGGGGTGATTGCTATGCCAGCTCATGTGCTGTGCATGCTTGTTACTATGTGTTTTGCATTGTGGGGTTGTTTTCCATGCCAGCTCATGTGCTGTGCATGCCTGTTACAGCTCATGTGCTATGCATGGCTTTTACTGTGGTTTCCATGCCAGCTCATGTGCTGTGCATGCCTGTCACAGCTCATATGCTGTGCATGTCTGTTACAGCTCGTGTGCTGTGCATGCCTGTTACAGCTCGTGTGCTGTGCATGCCTGTTACAGCTCATGTGCTGTGCATGCCTGTTACAGCTCATGTGCTGTGCATGCCTGTTACAGCTCATGTGCTGTGCATGCCTGTTACAGCTCATGTGCTGTGCATGCCTGTTATAGCTCATGTGCTGTGCATGCCTTTTACTGTGGTTTCCATGCCAGCTCATGTGGGTGTAAAGCACTTTTTTTTTTTTTGCATACTTAGTGACGGTGGTGTCATGGCACCCAAGAAAGCAGCGGAAGCTGGGAAGAGGAAGAAGGAGATGATTCTGCTTGAGGACAAGAAAGAAATCATCAGGAAGCATGAAGGAGGAATGCGATTGACTGACCTTGCCAAAGAGTATGGAAGGAGTGCATCCACAATCGGTACAATCCTAAAAATGAAAGAGAAGATAACTGGGAGAGATGCAGCCAAGGGAGTCACCAGGGTCTCCAAGCAACGGCGACCTGTTCTGGAGGTGGTTGAGAAGATGCTCCTGCTCTGGATTGAACAGAAGCAGCATGCAGGGGACTTAGTGACCAAGGCGATCATCTGCGAAAAAGCCAAGGCCTTGCACGCTAACCACCTCAAACAACAGCCAGAAACGTCAGCAGATGCAGAAGGCTTCAAGGCCAGCAGGGGGTGGTCCGAAAGGTTCTAGACCAGATCTGGCATCCACAGTGTGGTCAGGCATGGAGAGGCTGCAAGTTCCGATGTTGCTGCAGCTGAGGAATTTGTTACGGAGTTCCTGGAGGTCATAGTTTCAGAGGGCTACCTTCCTCAGCAGGTCTTCAACTGCAACGAGACTGGACTCTTCTGGAAGAGGATGCCAAAGCGTACTTTCATCACAGAAGAGGAGACCTCATTGCCTGGCCACAAGCCGAAGAAGGACCGTCTCACCCTCCTGTTCTGCGCCAATGCCAGTAGGGACCTTAAGATCAAGCCCCTGCTTGTCTACCATTCAGAGAACCCACGGGCCTTCAAGAAACACAAGGTGAACAAGGAGCAGTTGAGCGTTTTGTGGCAGTCTAACCCAAAGGCTTGGGTCACATGCCTCTTGTTTGTGAAGTGGGTCAATGCGGTTTTTGGTCCTGCTGTGAAGAACTACCTTGTGGACAATAACCTGCCACTCAAGGCCATGTTGCTCATGGACAATGCTCCTGCCCATCCTCCAGGAAGACTTGCTGGAGAACTTTAATTTCATCAAGGTCATGTTCCTTCCGCCTAACACCACCCCACTACTCCAGCCAATGGACCAGCAGGTCATCTCCAATTTTAAAAAACTCTACACAAGGGAGCTTTTCCGGCGATGCTTTGAGATGACAGATCGCTCAAGCCTCACCCTCCATGAATTTTGGAGAGAGCATTTTGACATTGTGAGCTGTCTGCAGATTATCACCATTGCCTGGATCGGGGTCAGCCAGATAAACCTAAATTCTGCTTGGCGCAACCTGTTGCCAGACTGTGTTGTGAAACCTGCCTCCAGGGCTTCTGCACCTGCACCAGAGTCAGCAGTGTTGGAGGAAATTGTTTCCTTGGGGAGGACCATGGGCCTGGAGGTGACTGAGGAGGATGTCTACGAACTGGTGGAGGAACACGACCGTGACCTAACCACCGAGTTGCTGGTGGAATTGCAGAAGGAGGTGATGGAGGAACAGACCGCATTTGGGGAGGAGGAGGAAATGAGTGAGGAACAACTCTCTTCCATGGAACTCAAGGAGGCATGCCAAATGTGGGTAAACCTACAGACTTTTGTACAGCAGCACCACCCAGATAAGGCTCTAGCTTACAGACTTGTGAGCAGTTTTGACACAGACATCATGTCCCCTTTCTGAGGGATGCTTAAAAGGCGCCAGAGGCAGCAGACAATGGAAAGGTTCCTACAAAAACAGCCTAGACATGAAGAAGAACCTGCTTGTGTTAGTGCTGCCCAATTGCCCTCGTCCTCCTCATCTTCCAAAAAGTGTTAAAATTGTTTTGAAATGTTCCATGTTTTCCCTGTTGACGTGTGATTTATATACAGTTGAAGTGTACTGTACCATGTTACCAACAGTCTGCCATGTTTTAAAAGTTGATGTGTGATATTTTAAAACATAAAGCTGGATGTTTGAAATGTTATTGCTTGATTAATCATGTCCCTGTACAGTATTAATGCCTTTAACCCCTTAAGGACACATGACATGTGTGACATGTCATGATTCCCTTTTATTCCATAAGTTTGGTCCTTAAGGGGTTAAAGTGCACTTTATAAAGAGTTTTGAACAGGTAAAATACTTTATTTGACTTTTTTCTCACCTCCGGAACGCATTAATTGGTTTTCAATGCATTCCTATGGGAAACCGTGTTTTGGTTTACAAATTTTTCGCAATACGAAACATCCCGGAGAACGCATTAAATTCGTAAACCGAGGTGCCACTGTATTTGATTGAGTTTTATAAATTAAAGCCACTTATAAAGCAATACAGGAAAGCCATACTGGCCCACATTATCATTGCCCAACTTAATAAAAACTAATTTTATTGACCAAAGTAGGATAAAAGAGCAGGTTGACTTTACCGGAAATGTAAATGGAGCCTTTTCCACTGAGCTATCTCACCAACATTTCTGCTCAAAATACGAACAGGGCGATTTTACTAAAATGTTATAAGAATAAATGTGGTCAGTGCAAATTGGCAGGGGTTATTTGTTCTTAGAATCCATTATGTTGGCCTTAAAATCATTCTACAGTACTTTCACCTGCTTTGTAAAGGTACAAAGAAGAACACTGTATTATTGGGGAGCCCAATTTTTATTTACATTTGCCAGTAATTCACAATGACCAGTTAAGGCTACCCTTGAATTGTAGTACAATTAATAATAATAGTCATTCACCAAACTGAATGTGTCTAGTCCTAGTAAGCAACTCGTTAAACTTGGAGTATTACCATGTACTTATTTTAAAGGAGTCATTATATCCCTCAACATTGTCCTATAGGTTACTAAGGTTTCATAAGTACTATAATATGAGATTTCGGGGGGTTTATGGACCCAATGATTAACTACCCTGTGCTTATAAACATATAATTATGATGCTACAATCCGATGGTTATTAACAGAAAAATATAATTGTTTATGTCAGTGTCAATTTCCATGTTTTTTGAACATGTAGCTTACATTTATTAAACCGTTATTCTTCTCTCTGGCACTTAATTCTGTGTCATGGGCAATGCTACTAACACATCTCGAAATTGCTGACACAAAATGTCAACACAGGATCAGGGTGATAAGATCACTGACTGTTGTTTCACAATGATCAGGGCCTCTTGTACCTACTGCCTCGTTTTAATTCTACAGACAACTAACAGTTAAATGTTATCAGTGACTGGAAGAAGTTCCTGGCCTGCAGGCATACTGAAAGTAGTTTAAATATTACACATTTGAACTTTCACTTCCCTCCTATAAACTAAATGATTTTATTATGTGTTTTCAAATAAGGCTTAAACCCATTTACTAACGCTTTTCTAAACAAATTGTATATATACAATTTCTCAGCTAATGAATGACAGGAACTACATCCGTCCTCTGCCGGTCTGCAGAAGAGGGATGCCGTCAAACTGGTAAGAGGACAAACCTTTGTAAAACAGTTTGCCCTATTACTGGTGGATGGAGCCAGTGGGCTGTACTGGTTATGGTGGTTGGAGTAGCCATTTAAGAGGGCTTAAGAGTTATGGGTGACTGAATGTCAGAGTGTCGAACATCAAGATGCTGTGGACTGAAACCCCCACAAATCTAAGCAAGTTGACTTTTAAAATTGAGTTGGAAATATAAACTGTGAAACTCTTGGTCAGTATATAGTTACTAGACTTTCACAGCTGTGGCCAGCGTTAGTTGCCATAGAAAGGATCTGATATTATCAACAAATAGACAAGTACAATACTTTTCAAGTAGGTTATACCAGAAAACAGAGGCAGGTGTTCATAATTCCAGATCTTGAGACCCTCCCCTGAGGAACAGGGGCATACTGCCACAGTATCCAATTAACTATTGTTTGTGTGAGGTATGCTTCAGTAATAACATTAGTGAGTGACTAAACTAACAACAAGAGCAGATTTACAGACAAATTGTATTTACCAAACTAACAGCATCTCCAGCTCTGTTCAGAACCACTGCAATAATGTCAGGCAAATAATGGTTGATAAAGTGGGTTTCACTGACACCTTGAAAATAAACTTTTTCAACTTTTTTCTTGGAGAGGTCCTCAATTCACTAGTAAAAAGTACTGAAGCTATTTTGGGGGTGAGACAAAAATAAATAATTTTCTTAAGATGCCAAATTCATGTCTATTCACCAGGCATAACTTTCCCATATTTTATTGTATGTGCAGGCTCCTTCTCTGCCTGCACTCAAGGTATCATGGGGACTTAGTTATCTTGTTTGAAATGCCAAGCTACACAATTCCCTCTAAAGTGACAGTTCCTCTTACGGTTTTTAAAGAGTCTAAACTCATTGCTTAATACTGCTTTTCATTACCAGATTTGGAAATGTTTATGAAGCAAGTCACTCAGCTACACAAAGAAAAAAAACAAGCAAAAAAAACCAAACGGAAATTAAAGGTTTTTCATATGAAATATCGAAACAATAAATTTGTATCAGACACATAAATCTGGAAATGTAAAACTCGATTTCTATATTTGCTACAATAACCTTTCCCACCATCACAATCCACCCTTTTAAGACTTTTCCCCTGATGACAGTAGCAAGTAGTTGGAAGTAGCGGCTAAATAGGAATTTACATAGCAAGGCACAATATTTTGCCTTCTATTTTTGGATGCTGATACATAAAAGTAATATTCAGCTGTATCACTCTTGAGAGCTGGGAATAAATTCAAGTCCTTTTTTTATTTAACTGATATGATGTCAGTGGCAATGCTAGAGGATCAGATGGTCTTTCAATCCTGTGAGACTCCAAAATGTTGTAATGCAATCATCCAAGACATCTATTTTTGCAATAAGGCCAGAACTGTGAAGTTTAATATTTTGCAGTGGGATAATGGAATGGAAAGTTTTTAGAAATTCAAAATGTCAGCTAGAGCACAGCTGATGCTGGGATTGCACAATATAGGGCCAAAGTAGCTGGAATGAAAACTTTTCCCCTAAAATATTTTGGCTTAAAACTTTGTACCACTCTGCCAGTCCTTTAAAAAACAAAAAAACTAAACAAACAAACAAACAACCCCACACTTATCCTTGCGGGTGACATTAATGCCATTCTATGTCCTATCCTTGACTGAAGACTTGTTTGAATGGTTAAAATATTTTGAACGGTTTGAAATATTGACTTTGAAGTATTTTCTCTTGCTTTGATGGATAAAGCAGGACCTCCAACCTTGGCTATTTCTTGGCTTGCTAGATTTACTACTAAATTGATATGTATATATATTTACAGCCATTGAAATCTGTGCTCACAAGATATTTCTGATTGAAAAAAGGCACAAGGATAAGGCAGGACTTTTCTCTTCTCTCTGACTGAAAGTGTTAATTTCTGTTTAGCTAAATCATAAGACAAGCAATCTTGCACATTGCATGTACACAGTTTCTTCTTTGCACATCTTTTCTTCCCCATTTTAAAAATACCCTATCCCTATACTCTCCTATTCTATGTAGATCCCACCTAGTAATGTCCCTAGACACATTTTAAGCAATGATTTGTTATATGCTTTCACCATGTTGCTTGCACAAGCTGCCCATGTTATTAGTTAATATTTGATTGGTAATGAATGAAACACCCCTAGACTGTACCTTAGTAGATTGCCTTAAAACCTTTGTTCTGTTTAGTAAAGCTTGAACATTCTTTACATTAACTCAGTTTTATGCAGGGCTGACCCAAGACATTGTGCAGCCTGGGTCCAAGGATGAAATGCTGACCCCTCCCCCCCCCCAACAAACCCCCCCCAACAAAAACAACATATATGTTTCTGCAATTGTAGTGTCTCTATGTGTGTGTGCTGGGGATAAAACTTGTGTCTGTGTGTACTGGGGATGAAGTGTGTGTCTAACTGTGTGCTGAGGATGATATGTGTCTGTGTGTGTGCTGTGGATGAAGTGTGTGCCTGTATGTGTGCTGGAGATGTAGTATGTGCCTGTGTGTGCTGGGGATGTAGTGTGTTTCTGTGTGTGCGCTAGAGAAGTAGTGTGTGTCTGTGTGTGTGCTGGAGATGTAGCGTGTGTCTCTGTGTGCATTGCAGCCAATACACTTACCTATACACTGTGTCTGTGTATATGCATGTGTGTCAGATTTGTATCTGTGTTTCTGTATCTGTATCTGTATATGTATATGTGTCAGTGATTGTATTTGTGTGTCTGTATATCTGCATGTGTATCAGTGTGTCTGTGCAAATGTATGTGTGTCTGTATATCTGCACGTGTATCAGTGTGTCTGTGCAATTGTATGTGTCTGTGCATCTGCATGTGTCAGTATATGTATCAAACACTGACAAACATGCAGATATTGACATACGTACAGATGTGCACACACTGATACGCCTGCAGATACACAGACACACAGACTTACACACTGACACACAGATATACACACTGACACACATACATTCACACTGACACATACAGATACACACACTACACATACAAAATACGCACACTACACACACTGCACACATTACACACATACACACTACACACAGATACACACATACATACACATTACACATACAAATTACACACATACAAATACACAGATACACACATACACACATACAAACACACAGATACACACATTAAATAATTAAGCCACCCAGCAGTTTCTTACTTTCTGCTGGCTGTGGCTGGTGGGAGTTGG